GCGGCGCCAGAGTATTTTTGTCGTCGCTTCGGATTTGCTCATATGATAGGGAATGAGGCGAACACGATTTGGTTGTTTGTTGATAGTTCATTCCAGTGTCAGATGGTTGCGAGTGACGATCAGTGGATTCATGTGCAGTTATCGTCACCACAGATTCGTCGACCCCTTCTGCTGACAGGTGTTTATGGGAGATGTAGTGTCGTCAGGCGTCGGGAGATATGGGGATTCTTGGAGGAGACTGCAGTCTCAGCTGTTGGGGTTCCTTGGATAGTCGGTGGCGACTTTAATGCCATCGCAGATATATCGGAGAGGGAGGGCCCAGGACGGCCGCGGCTGCGATCGATTCAGGATTTTTCGGGTGCTCTCCTCGATGCTGGATTGATAGATGCCGGTTTTGAGGGTCCTCAGTTTACCTGGACGAACCGGCGAGTGTGGAAGCGCTTGGATCGGATACTTTATAGCCGTTCGTGGGAGGAGTTTGCGGAGACCACACGGGTTCGGCACCTTCCGCGGATGTGTTCGGATCACGCGCCCCTTCTGGTTCAGGTCTCGCATGAGCGACATCGAGTTTCGTCAGCATTTCGATTCCAGAGCATGTGGATTCGCCATCACTCATTTCTGGACAGAGTTCGGGAGAGTTGGGAGGTTCCTACTGGGGTGTCGGGACTTCTCAACCTACGCTTGAAGCTAGGGAGGCTCAAGCGATTATTGAGGTGGTGGAATCGTCATGTGTTTGGCGATGTGTTTCATTTGTTGGCGGAGGCCGAGAGGGAGGCTGCAGAGTGTGAGGCTGAGTATGACAGAGATCCCTCGGAGGCTACCTTGATGCGCCGACAGCGTAGTGCGGCAGCTCTGACACATGCCATTGCGCTGGAGGAGGCTTTTTGGCGGCAGAAGGCCGAGTGTAGATGGGCCGTCGATGGGGAGAGGAACTCCCGGATGTTTCACTCGATGGTCCGGGAGCGCCGTCGACGGGCTTCTATATTTTACATGCGAGATGGTGACAGGGAGCTTACGGAGCACTCGGACATCAAGGCATCGGCCGTATCTTACTTTGCCTCGATGTTCGGGGAGATGGATGATGCAGATACCTCGGGTATGGATGATTTGGCGGATATGCCGCCGCAGGTTCCCCCGGAGGAGAACCGGCGGCTTTTGGCGCCACCGACGTTGGCGGAGGTTCGGGAGACAGTATTCTCGATAGATCCGGATAGTGTGGCAGGTCCGGATGGATACTCGGCAGCTTTTTACAGAGCTTGTTGGGAGATTGTTGGTCCGGATGTGTTAGCAGCTGTATTGGATTTCTTTTCGGGGACCCCACTCCCGAAGTTTTATACGGCCACCACCATTGTCCTCATCCCGAAGAGGGATGCCCCAGAGTCTTGGGCTGATTATCGGCCGATTAGTCTGTGCAACGTGAGCAACAAGATTATCACGAAGTTGCTCACGGTGCGCCTTGGGACTTTACTACCGCGCCTCCTTTCACCGCATCAGAGCGGATTTGTGAAGGGGCGTGCGATTGCGGATAATATTCTGATGGCATCTGAGATGGTTCATGACTTGAACCTTAGAGGCACGTCGCACAACGTGCTTCTGAAACTGGACCTTAATAAGGCATATGATCGGGTGTCTTGGCGTTTTTTGAGACATGCCTTGTTGAGGTTCGGTTTTGCGGAGGCGTTTATTACATTGGTGATGCATTGTGTAGAGCATGCTTACTACTCCGTTTTGATTAACGGAGACCTTGGGGGATTTTTTAAATCCTCCAGGGGGGTCCGGCAGGGAGACCCGTTGTCGCCTACTTTATTTGTGCTTGCGGCGGACCTGCTGTCGAGGGGTTTGGAGCGTCTTTACCAGGGACATCCGGAGCTTTACTTTCGGTGTAGAGGAGGGTTTCGGTTGTCTCACTTAGCATATGCCGATGATGTGCTGATATTTGCGAGTGCCTGTGGGGAGCAGATGAGCTCTTTGACGACTTTTTTGGCCGATTATGCGAGGATCACCGGCCAAAAGGTCAATTGTCAGAAGAGCTCGATTGATTTTAGTCGACGATGCCCGGGGGAGGTTCGGGAGCAGCTTCAGTCAGTCACGGGCTTCAGAGTGGCTGACCTACCCCTTACTTACCTTGGTGCGCCCCTCTATGTGGGGAATCAGAGGAGCATATTGTATGAGGAGCTTCTGGGGAAGCTTCGGAGGTATTTGAGCTGCTGGGACCGGGCTGTATTATCACATGGAGGTCGCTTACAGCTTATCCGGAGCACACTCTTGTCCCTACCACTATACTTACTTCAGGTCCTGCATCCTCCGCAGTCGATCCTTCATGAGGTTGAGCAGATCTGCGCGCGTTTCTTTTGGGGCTCGTATCATGGTCATCGCCAGCGTCATTGGATTTCGTGGACAGATGCGGCACGGCCGCAGGATGAGGGTGGATTGGGAGTTAGGCGATTATCGGATTTGGTTCATGCCTTCTCTATGAAGCTTTGGTGGAAGCTTCGGGAGGGTTCTTCATTGTGGGCGCAGGCGATGCGGCACAAGTACTTTCGCGATTCCTTCCCGGGGAGAGCCCCTTGTCGGATATACGACAGCCCGGTGTGGAAGCGCTTGTGCCGTGTTAGGGAGGAGGTCCAGTTGCAGATATTCTGGACTCTAGGTCGAGGGGAGTGTTTCTTTTGGGAGGACAGATGGTTCGGGGAGCAGCCCCTTTCGACCTTCCGGGGAGACAGCCGGCCGCCTCCGTCGATACTGGTCCGGGATATGTGGACAGAGGGGTCATGGGATGTTGGGCGACTACGTGCTTATCTCCCGGAGGCTTTAGTACAGCGTATTATTGAGATCCCCTTCGACAGGTTGACAGAGGATCGGATGAGTTGGATGGCTTCGGCATCCGGTACATTTACTACCTCCTCAGCTTGGGAGCTTTGTCGGGACACAGGGGTACAGAGTTGGCTTTCGGGTTTACTATGGTCGCGGATCCTGACCCCGACGATGTCGGTTTTTTTGTGGAGACTGTTTCGGCGGCGTATACCGATGGATGAGATCCTTCAGCACTACGGGATTCCGATTGTATCGCGCTGCCATTGTTGTCATACGGAGATAGAGACTATCTCACATGTCTTTATTGATTCGGGAGTTGCCATGAGAGTTTGGGGGCACTTTGCAGCATTATTTGGGATATCGCTGCCGGAGACACACACTCCGCATTTGTTGGTGTCATCATGGAGACTCTCTTCGACGCGTTCTCAGAGTATTAGGGCGTATGTTCCATTATTGGTATTCTGGTTCATTTGGACAGCTCGGAATGACGCGAAGCACAGGGGGCTTCGAGTGTCTTCCGAGAGGATCATTTGGCGGATTCATGCGCATTTACAGACCCTATGGCGGGCTAGGGTCCTTCTGCGTCGACATTGGGAGGGCGACCTCCATATTGCTGATGGGCTTGGATTTCGATATCCCCCTCCGGTCCCTCGACCTCCGATTATGGTGCGTTGGGAGGCACCGTCCCCGGGATGGTTCAAGCTTAACACCGATGGTGCTTCGCTTGGCAATCCCGGGGCGGCAGGAGCGGCCGGTCTTATCCGGGATTCGGCTGGAGCAGTGCTCGTCGCATATCAGGTTCCGATTTCACACGCGACGAACACTCTGGCAGAGCTGACAGCGATTCAGAGGGGAGTTGGGATTGCGATTGATCGGGGATTGGTGCCGTTGTGGATCGAGACAGACTCGACGGCATGTATTTCTCTGATCTCCTCCTCGATGAGTCATTGGTCGCTTCAGAGGTGTCTTCTTACTCTTCGCATGCGCTTACGGGATACGACTTGGAGGATCTCGCACATTTATCGGGAGGGGAACCGTGTTGCGGATATTTTAGCGACGACGGCGGTCTCCCTTCCGACGGAGCGGATACTTCTTCCGATGGATCTCCCTCGGGCGACCAGAGGCCTCCTTCGAGCGGATGCCGACGGACTTCCGAGCTTCCGTTTCCGATTGTAGGCCTCGTCATGGTATGACTTTACTTACTCACTGATACTTTGGCTTGATTGGCTTAGTGTTGATTGGTGTTGATGCCTTAGGCATTTTCCCTTAGGATAGATACTTTGATTACCTAGGCCTGTCATGCATGTTTGTTTACTTGGACTATGTAGCTCTACTAAGAACTACGTATGGCTTGATCCCGTTCGGGTACGTAGGCAGCCCACTTTGGGTTCAGCCACTGCTATATAGTTTTTTTTTTTTAAAAAAAAAAAAAAAAAAAAAAAAAAAAAAAACCCTAAACCCTAAACCCTAAACCCTAAACCCTAAACCAAACCGACCCCAACCATTCGCGAAATTTCAAACGCTCTCCAGCACTTGGGCGATTTCCGGCCACCTTCTCCGACGACTTCCGTTCCGGCGGATCCAGACGCCGGACGGCAAATCGGCCACCGTCAGTCGCCTCGCCACCCCCATAAACCCCCCCCTACACCAAACCTCGTCACCGGAAAACGCCCCCAGCCGCCGCTCTCGTCAGCACCCGAAACGACGTCACCGGCGAACTCGCCGTTTCCGGCGTTTTCGGCCCGGCGCTTCATCAGCATCGTGACCGCCGTCCCTCACAACCCCCGTAGCCGCCTTCCCGCTGTCGGAAACCACCCTGCGGCCGCCGTCACCATCCGCCGGGATCTGCCCAGCGCCGTCGAGTCTGTCGCGGCCCCTCTTGACGTCCAACGGCGAATCGGCCACCGTCACTGAACTCGCAGGGTTGAGGAGTCCCCGAACCCACCCCTTGATCGCCGGAATCCGCCGCCGGCCCCGGCCCCGACGGTTTGCCTCCTGAACCGTCGCCACCGCTGTTCGGCATCTCCCCGCCGTCAGACCACTATTCTGACGTCGGCATCGTACTCCCCATCTTGGGCACAAAGCGGAGGCTTGTTTACGCAGACCTTCTTCGCAGCCGGTACCAGTAACCATCTCAGCTGCGCAGGATCCTCCTGCTGCGCCTTCTGGTCGCCATGACTCGGTGCATGGCCCTTCTGAGATCTCTGCAGCCCCCGCCTCTGGTGATATCATGGAATCCCGGCCCCCCACTGCTCGACGCCGTCGTCGGTGCCGCAATCGAAATAGGGGTACGCCTTCTACTGGTATTACTAATGCTTCTGGCTCCTTGTAGGCTCCTCCTCAGCTCCTCCGACGGGACCCCCAGCCTTCTACCCGGAGACCTTCCGATGACATCCCGGAGTTGAATGGCTCCAGACGTCTTCGCTCTGGTGTGCGGGTGACCTTTGGGGAGACACAGGTGGCCCCAAATCCATCACAGACGCCCGAGAAGTCACTGCAGCTCACACCGGCGCATCTCAGCGGCCCTGCGGAGGCTCATCGCCCCCACGCCCCTCCTCGGGTGACCTTTGCCCACTCACGGGGGGATGCCTCTGCGATGCTGCTTACTTCTGGTGTTCGAGTTACCTTTGGGGACTTTCTGGCGCCTTCGGAAACCTCTCCGGCCCGCCCTCTGGCCGGACAGACCACAGCTGAGCCTCCGATTGACAGTCCTGCTTCCCCGCTGGACGACTGTCGGCTGAGTCCCACTCCAGCGACTCCTGCCACCGCCCCAGCCCTCGGTCTCCTTCTGCAGCCCCCCTTGGACGATCAGGTACCCTCGCCGCCTTTACCACTGTTTGCTGACGATATGCAGGTACCCCCGGAGCCTGTGTCGCTTCCTCCTGCTCAGTCTTTGGCAATTTGGGGACTCCCCTCTGGTCATGGCCTGGATAAGGGGAAGGCAGTGCTGTTCTCGGACCCCCCTGCATCACCTATCTGCGATCGACGTGATCCTTCAGTGGACACATGCCTATCGGCCACGGGTTCTCCTTCCTCGGACACCCAGAGGGATGAGGACTCTGCACTTCACGCCACTTTCGCCGAGGACTCGGATGGTGACTCGCCCCTTATTAAGGATGGCCAACCGCCCCTCATTGATTCACTGTCTCTCTCCCCGAGAGGTACCACTGATTTTCACTCTTGTGATCTTCCTGCTGATGCAACTACAGGGACAGAGCTCCTCCTTGAACCTGGTCCGAACCCACCCCTCTTGCGGACTTCATCGGAACCGCTCCCTGTTGTCGCTCTGTCGACGGAGTCGCATCCGAGCAGAGGGGTGTGCGTCTTGAACCAGGCTGCTGATCCTCCGTCTCTCAGCGGATCTTTGGAGACAGTGTCGGATGACCGGCCACAGGCTCTGCCGCCAACCTTCTCTAGACCGATCACCCGCAGCATCTCTCGTCAGCAAGTAAGCTCCTCTCGTCGCCCTTCTGCCAGTTCCCGATGACAGACACCTCCCTCTTGGTTTGGAATGTGCGCGGAGTTGGCAACCCCCGAGCTCAACGAGAGGTACATTGGCTCTGCAAGCAGCACCGTATCCGCATTCTTATTCTCCTGGAGCCTATGGTTTTTGCGGATGTTGCTTTCTTTTGCCGGCGTTTTGGCTTCTCCCAGATGCTTACCAACGCGGTCAATTCTATCTGGATTCTTGCTGATGACTCCTATAAATTGGAGCCTATTTCGGAGATCGATCAGTGTCTTCATGTGCAGGTTTCGTCTCCACAGCACCGCCGCCCCTTTTTCCTATCTGGGATCTATGCGCGATGTTCTGTCACCCAGCGCCGTGCCCTCTGGTCTTTCCTACAGGACACAGCGGCCTCGTCATTGGGGTCTCCTTGGCTGATCGGTGGCGACTTTAATGCCATCGCCGACATATCTGAACGGAAGGGCCCGGGTCGCCCTAAGTTGCGCTCTATTCAGGACTTCTCAGCGGCTATCCTTGATGCGAATCTTATTGATGCTGGTTTTGAAGGCTCCCCCCATACATGGACAAATCGGCGAGTTTGGGAGCGCCTCGACCGCATTCTATACAACACTGCCTGGGAGGATTTCGCTGAGACGACTCGTGTCAGACACCTCCTGCGGATGCATTCGGACCACGCCCCGCTCTTGGTCAGGTTCTCGCATGAACGACACCGCCTTGCCTCTGCATTCCGGTTTCAGAACATGTGGACCAGACACCACACTTTTCAGGACCACGTCCGCCAGAGTTGGGTTGTCCCGACGGGCACCACCGGTCTCCTCAACCTGCGACTGAAACTCGGACGCCTCAAGCAGGCTCTGAAATGGTGGAACAAACAGGTATTTGGTAATGTGTTTCAGGTACTTGCAGCAGCAGAGAAAGATGCTGAGGAGTGCGAAGCGGATTTCGATCGGGATCCCTCTGACGCCAACCTCCTCCGTCGTCAACGGAGCGCAGCAGCCTTGACACATGCGATTTCTCTTGAGGAGGCCTTCTGGAAACAAAAAGCAGCATGTCGTTGGGCAGTTGAGGGAGAGCGAAACTCCAGAATGTTCCACTCCATGGTGAAGGAACGGCGTCGGCGGGCTACGCTTTTCTCGATGAGGGACGGTGCTCGTACCCTCACTGATCACTCAGCCATTAAGCAGTCAGCTATTACCTACTTCTCCGAGATGTTTGGACAGCCTGACGATGCAGACACATCGGGGATGGATGCACTGGCGGACCCTCCGCCTCAGGTTCCTTTGGCTGAATGTGCTCGGTTGCTGGAACCACCAACACTTGCGGAGGTTCGTGCTGTGGTTTTCTCGATTGACAAGGACAGTGTGGCTGGCCCTGATGGCTTTTCCGCCGCTTTCTATCAAACGTGTTGGGATATTATTCACGAGGATGTTTTCGATGCTGTTCTGGATTTCTTCTCGGGAGCCCCTCTTCTGAAGTTCTATACGGCAACGACACTTGTGCTTATCCCCAAGACGGACGGGCCAGTCGCTTGGGCTGATTTTCGGCCTATCAGCCTTTGTAATGTGAGTTCTAAGATCTTCACGAAGTTACTCACTGTGCGACTTGGTCCGCTACTGCCGCAGCTTCTGTCGCCACACCAGAGTGGTTTTGTCAAAGGTCGGGCAATTGCAGACAATATTTTGCTGGCATCGGAAATGGTACATGATCTCAATTTGAGGGGGGACTCGCACAATTTGCTGCTGAAACTGGATTTGAATAAGGCATACGATCGGGTATCGTGGCGGTTCTTGCGACATGCCCTTACCAGGTTCGGTTTCCCGCCTCATTTCATCACCTTGATTATGAATTGTGTCGAGCATGCTTGGTACTCGATTCTTGTGAATGGGGACTTGGGCGGTTTCTTCCCCTCCTCGCGAGGCCTCAGGCAGGGAGACCCCCTGTCCCCGACCCTCTTTGTTTTGGCTGCAGATCTCTTATCTCGCGGCTTGGAGCGCCTATACAATCGGTACCCGGACCTGTACTATCGGTGTCGTGGTCGGTTCCGATTGACGCACCTAGCCTATGCGGATGATGTTCTCGTCTTTGCCAATACCCGTGGTGATCGAATCAGCCTCTTGACGGATTTTCTGACGACGTATGCGCGAACTACTGGCCAGATGGTGAACTGTCAGAAAAGTCAGCTGGTATTTAGCCGCCGATGCCCGGAGAGGGTCCAGCGACAGCTTCAGTCCGTGACTGGTTTTGGCAGGGTTGGACTTCCCCTTACATACCTCGGCGCCCCGCTCTATGTGGGCAATCGGCGTAATATCCTTTACGAAGACCTACTTGGGAAACTGCGGCGATATCTGCAGCGTTGGGACCGCTCCGTTCTCTCTCACGGAGGTCGCTTGCAACTGATCAGAAGCACGCTCTTCTCGCTTCCCCTTTACCTCCTACAGGTCCTTAACCCCCCCAGGCTGTCCTACACTCAGTGGAGCAGCTCTGTGCTCGTTTCTTCTGGGGCTCCTATCATGGCCACCGTCGCCGCCATTGGATTTCCTGGATGGATGCGGCGAGGCCTCAGGACGAGGGCGGGCTTGGTATTCGCCGCCTGTCCGATATGGTTCGAGCCTTCTCGCTTAAATTGTGGTGGCGTCTCAGAGATGGTTCCTCTCTTTGGGCTCGCGCGCTCCAGCATAAATATTTCCGCAGCTCCTTCCCGGGTCTCGCCCCCTGCCGGACCTACGACAGCCCGGTCTGGAAACATCTTTGCCAGATTCGCGATGAGGCACAGACGCAGATCACTTGGAATTTGGGGCGTGGGGACTGTTTCTTCTGGTATGATACTTGGTGCGGTGATCGCCCTCTCTGCACTGACCGCCGGGACCGCCCTCCGCCGACTCGGGTGAAAGAGATGTGGGTCAACGGGTCGTGGGATTTGACGCGCCTTCAGGCCTACCTTCCGGCATCCCTTGTTCAGCGAGTCTCTGCGATTCCTTTTGACCCCCTGATAGCGGATCAGCCGATATGGAAGGCTTCGGACACAGGTACTTTTACTACTACTTCAGCATGGGAGATGAGCCGGACAGCGGGGGCTCGGAGTTGGCTTTCCTGCTGCCTCTGGTCGCCACTACTTACGCCTACGATGTCGGTATTCCTATGGCGTTTATTTCGCCGTCGGATACCTGTTGACGAGGCCCTTTGGAGGCTGGGTCTCCCTATTGTTTCTCGCTGCCAATGCTGCAGTGAATCCGAGACGTTTGCACACTTATTCTTCTCGTCGGCGGCTGCCCAGCGCGTTTGGCGCCATCTTGCCGACTTATTCCGTATCCAAATCCCGCGGACACATGCGCCCCACCTGATGGTCTCTGCTTGGCGTCTGTCCTCCCCACATGCGCGGAGCATCCGTACTTATATCCCACTTCTGGCCTTCTGGTTTCTTTGGATGGCACGGAATGACGCCAAACACCGAGGTATCCAGATTTCATCTGACAGGATTATTTGGCGTATTCACTCGCATTTGCAGGTCTTAGGCCGTACTGGCCTCCTTCAGCGTCAGCACTGGCCTGGGGAGGTGCACCTAGCCTCTAGTCTCGGCCTTCGCCTCCCACCTCCGGTTCTTCGGCCGCCGGTCATGGTACGCTGGGGAGCCCCGTCTCCAGGCTGGTTCAAACTCAACACTGATGGGGCATCGCTCGGGAATCCAGGCGCCGCTGGAGCCGCGGGCGTCATTCGGGATGC